GGCGTGAGAGAGAACAACGAGGCGGGGGTGCGTGCGTGCGTGCGGAGTCCTTTGCAACCCAGCAGCTGGAGAGAAAAATCCAGCTACGGCCAGCCTTTTTTGGCCGACTGCTGGAGAGCACTCGGGGCTCCATCCGATGGGTTACATTCACCTCGGAGCAGGTCTCCGTCGGTAGCCGCGCAAAAGGGAGGGCAGAAACGCGCCCGAACGGCTGGCTCTGGAGAGGAATCCCGTCGGAGGCTAGAAAGACGCGGTCCTTCCGGATCGCGCGCTAATATCACCGCTGATTTACCGCCAGCCGATCAGACAGACCCCTGGTGGCACCTTCCCTAGCTGCTGCTAACCGCTGGATCCTCCCCATAAAGGCTTTGCTCCCTGCTGTTGCAGTGGTGCCTTTCCCTCCTTCACGAATCAACAACGTCCATCAGACCAGATCTCTCCCACGGCATGGGGTTGCCCCTGTCCACAAATCTCGGCTCCTCTGACCTCCCCTGCCCCCCCCTCCCTCCCTCCCTCCCTCCCTCCGCCGTCGAAGAAGTTGCGGAAACCGAAAAGGAACCAGCCGCGAGCTGCTCCGGCGCAGGAGAGCTCGCTCACTCCTTCAGATGCGGGGCACCTCAAGGCTGCCCGATTGATATTTATGCCGCAGACAAGCGCGGCCGCCCATCTGGAAGCGGAGAAACGTCCGCGGTCCCTCCAGCTGGGGGAACCCCGTTCCGTTTCAGCGGGGAAGGACGACGCGCGTGGCGAACTCTTCCACCGACAGCAGCAGAGGGGTTATTCCGGCGGCATCTGCGCGCTTACTCGGGAGTAAGGCCCGGCGAAGGCAGGGCGAGGCACTTTCGAGGAAGCCTGGCTAGGATCGGACGGCAAGCCCACGGCTCTCGCAGGGGGACGGTCACGGTGGCGGTAGTTTTAGACAGATGCAGGTTCTCCCCGCCCCCGTTATCAGCCATCAGATCGCGGCCGAGTCCCTCTCTGGGCCTTGCAGAGCGCGATGACAGGCGCCCTCTCGGCTTCCCTCCTCCATACCCTCCAGGCGGGCTCGGAGCCGAACCTCCTGGCCCAGCTCACGTTGCCCTCAGCAGGTGGAGGAGGCCCCGAGGCAGAGAGCGGGGAGAGAGGCTCCAGCCACCGTCTTCCGCCCCCTTGCCTGGCAGCTGCGTCTCCTCCACTGCCTGGTGCCCGCCAGGGGCTCCTTCCAAACCAGAGAGGTGCCCGCCGGGTAGGCTCTGGCAACGGATTGAGACGAATCCTAGCACTTTGCACACGCTCAGAAGACCGCCTTTCTTTAGCCTTAGTGGCTGCTTCCCCCGCAGGGTCCCTGTCTGAGCCCCACCAAGACAAGAGCGTGATGCCCGGACCGGCGGGCTGAGAACCTCGGAAGGAGCCTCGATCTTGCCTCCCCACCCCCGACGAGGTGCGAAAGTCGCTCTCCCAAGACGCCCCCCCCCCCGGGCGAGGAGAAACGCGGGACTTGCCTTTCACTTACCACCAGGAGGAATCCACGCGGGGCGGGACAGCCAGCAGCATCAGGACCAGCGGCAAGCAGAGGCGGGAGGTGGCATGGACGCCCTCGGCCGCCCGTCGGGGCCCCCCGGGAGTCCAGGCAATCCTAGCAGCGCTGGCCAAGCGGCTTGAGCCGAGCATAATTCTCTCCCCGGAGCCGAGAAAAGATTACGAGGAGGAGGAGGAGGAGGAGGAGGAGGAGGGCAAATGGGTCTCCAGCGCTTGGTCCGCCGCCCCTTCGCTTCCCGCGGTGGGCCAGTCCAGCTCCCCTAAGCCCCGGGCGGCGGCGGGCCTCTGGCTAGGCGGGCAGGCGGGCGGGCGGGCGGCTTCCCTCCGGAGATGCGCTGCTGCTGGCCTCTGCCTAGGCTGGAAGGAGCGGCTGGGAGGCAGCCCCATGGACGGGCACCGGGTGGGGAGGCGGAGGCGGAGGAGGATGACACGCCGGAGGGAGGGGTGGGCTCGGGGGCAGGCGGGGGAGACGGACACCTCCTTTGGGCTCTCATTGGGCAACGCGCCCCGGCCCAGAGACAAGGCGGCGGCGGCGGCGGCGGCGGCAGAGGAGGCACCGCCGGGCGGCCTCGCTCCGGCGCGCCCCCAGCCTTGCCTGGCCTCGGGGGTCCCGCCCTCCTCCCGCGCGAGCTGCACGCGGCGCTCACCTTTTCCCTCCCGGGCACCACCTGCTGCCCGCAGCCCGCGGAGATCAGAGACAGCGCCGGACACCCCCGCACCGGGCGGCCGGCAGGCGTAGCCCGCCCCCCGGGTCCTAGCGCCTCCCTCGGCTCCGGCTTCTGCGGTTGGCTCCAGTCCCCGGGGCCCCGAGGAGGAGGAGGAGGAGAGGAGGCCACCGTAGAGGAGCTGCCCGGGATAGACGCCTTGGTCACAAATCGGGCACTAGGCGGGTAAGGAGTTGCCGTGACCAGGGCTGGGTCCAGAAATGTTAGCTTTTGACTCTACCAGAATGGAAGCGTCACCAGCCCCCCCCCACTTCTGGTACCCGAGTCCTATAGGGGGAAAGGTCTCACATCTGCCAAGCACTGGACCAGGACAAGCGGCATTTTTTTTAAAAAATGGGAACAATTCAGCAGAGGGTTGTGAGAGCAAACAAAAATTGTAAACCATCTTTGTTGTTGCCATGCGTTGGAAGGTACAGTGTTCACACCCAATGATGTACATACTTTGGTGTCATCACGTTGCATGCCCCCTCCCCAGGTGGCCCCCTAACGTTGGCGCGGAAGAGGCATGGATGGTGGGCGGATTATCCGGGTGGGATCACACCCCAAAATCTGGGAAGTGGAGCGCACCTGTGGCTTACCACCGACAATGCGCCTTAAAAAACTAGTACCTCCAAGGTACTAGTAAACGTTTGCCACGGGCTGCCTCCAGACACCGGTGGCACCACATTCCCCTCCGGTGCCTCGTTTACCTGAGCCGGGGCAATTAGCCACGCCTCCCCCCCATATCCGGCCCATGTGACGGGGCCATTCTGTCCCGACTTTCTTCCATGGAATGCAAGGCCTCTCTTCAAAGGTTTTCTATCCTTGGAGGGACGACCTCCAAACCTGCTTTTTCTGAATGAAGTGCTAGAATGCAGACTGTGTGTACCTTGTCACAAAATTTACCAAGTGAACTTCACAGCTGGGTGGGGGTGAGGCCCTCATGTGCACACCTCAAATCCTCCCTCTACTCTACCTACTGGCCTTCTTTGCCACACACCAGGGGTGGGGGAAAATGCTGTCTTGCAATATCCAGCACCTATGCATGCATCATCGAGATAACAGTGATGCACAAATAACAGCACAGTTCTAAGGAGAGTTACACCCTTCTTAGTCTGTGGAAGTCAACAAGCTTAGAAGGGTGTAACACTGTTTTGCATTGCACAGTATATATTGCCTTCATAATCAGATGTATTATACATGTGAATATCAGATGCTGGAGACAAAATTGGAGAAGGTGAAGAATTCTTTTTTTGGGGGGGTATTTTTTGGGGTGTGTTTGTTTGCCTGCACCTGGAAGTCACATTGACCTCTGGTGACTGACCTCTACTGGGGGTCTGGAGGATATTCAGAGAGGTGGCTGAATAAAGCCTGACTCTGTCCACCCGGCTTGATATTCCAAGGAAGTCCCCCACTTCGGCCCTGATTAGCTTCTGAGATGATTCTTCACATCAATATCCCCCAAGAAGCCTTAGATGGCATGATGCCATTTTCCACAGCCCTGTGAGGTAGGCTAGGCTAAGAGAAAAATGACCAGTCTGGGGTCACAACAAGGTTTATGACCAAACAGCTATTGCGAGTCTAACATTCTGGCCTTGGCAGCACATTGGTAAGTCTCTGCTTGTGATGCATCTGGCTAACTTGAGTTGAAAAAGGATACTGGACTGGATTGATCACAACATCAAGGCACTGCTTGCATTTTATAGATAGTAGAATGCATTTTAAGGGAGGTAGGACAAAGATGGAAACCACACATAGTTCTTAAGGAGCTAATTTTCTCTGCATCCCTCTGTACTCCTGGAGATCCTCCTTTCAAGGATCAACATTTCAAGCACACTATCAAGCCTTGTAGTTGAGTTTTTTAAAACAAACCAACAAACCCAAGTTTAGAAATCACTGCTTAAAGGGAAGAAATGGTAACAGGATAGAATTAATAGGAAAGAATAGAACACTATCAGTTACTCAAGCTTCCATCAGTCCAAAGGATGTGCCCTGTTTCTTTAAATTGATCTTGACAGTCAAGCCCTAAAACAAATGAAAAACAACAACAGCAGAATGGCGTGGGACTGTTGTTTTCCTTTTTTGATCTTTACACACCTTGTGTGGTATTTGGATTGAGTCATTCTGCCTGTCACTCCTTATCTTCTACCCACACATAGCAGATAGTCTATTATTCCACAAATTCCAGCTGGAATTGCTGCTGTTGAAAATCACAGGAGAGTTGAGTGATTAAAAAAAAAAAATCAACATTTAGTCAACCTTTTGATCTGCGATGGCTGTTTTATACATGCAAGTCATCATTTGGTTCTGTCCTTACAAATGGTGAACATTTATTTATTTATTTATTTGTAATCAAATGTATACCCAGCCCTCCCCGCAAAGCAGGCTCAAGGAAGCTTCCAACACAATACAACAACACAAAATAAAAGCATAAATAGTAAAGAATTAAAACACAACAATAAAAAAATAAAAAAAATAAAACACAACAATTAAAATAATACATTACAATGTTACAAAGTACTGGTGGCAGATAAAATAAACAGATGAGATGTTTTCCAATAAAGTGCTTTGATGTTATTCCACATAAGTGTTTGAATGTTATGTTGCTCATTCTTGAGGCAGGTGCTGATGTCAACATTAAGGGGCCATGCACTAAGACTGTGGCGGCCCCTAGTTATATGCCTGGTGGAAGAGCTCCATCTTGCAGGCCTTGCGGAACTGTGAAAGGTCCCGCAGGGCCCTGATCTCCTCCGGGAGCTCGTTCCACCAGGTAGGGGCTGTAACAGAGAAGGCCCCGGCCCTAGTAGCAGCTAGCCTGGCCTCCCTCAGGCCAGGGAGGGTCAACCGATTTTAAGACCCAGACCATAGTGCTCTCTGGGGTATATACGGGGAAAGGCAGTCCCGTAGGTATGTTTGACCCCTGCCATATAGGGCTTTAAAGGTAAGAAGCAGCACTTTGAAGCTGATTCGGTATACTATTGGCAGCCAGTGCAGTGTCCTCAGCACAGGCTGGATGTGCTCCCATCTAGGGAGACCCTTCAACAGCCTGGCCGTGACATTCTTCACTAACTGCAGCTTCTGGACAAAGGCAGCCCCATGTAGAGAGTGTTACAGTAGTCTAGTCTCGAGGTAACCATCGTGTGGATCACTGTAGCCAGGTCAGCATGGTCAAGGAAGGGAACCAACTGCCTAATCAGCCTCAGATGATAGAAGGCTGACTTGGCAGTGGCGGCTACCTGGGCCTCCATGGTAAGGGAGGAATCCAGGAGCACTCCTAAACTCCAAACCTCTGACACTGGGACCAATGAGGCCCCCCCAAAGGTCGGGAGTGGGATCCCCAACCCCGAACCACCTCAACCCAGGCACAGGACCTCTGTCTTCACTGGATTCAGCTTCAGCCGACTCAGACTGAGCCACCCAGCCACGGCCTGCAAAACGCCATCTAGATCCTCTGGTCCGGAGTCTGACTGGCCACCTGTTGGGATTCTTATTGAGTAAGTCAGCAGAGTATTAAGAGACTGAGTCCATGGTGTGTTTTAAAATATAAGAGTTTACTATAAACCTAACATGGGAAAAAGGTACACAGGATATAAAAATAACAAAGAGCTAATATGGCTACATCCTTACAGCTAAAAGGTAAAACGGGAATGGCCAGCGTCTTCTTCACAGTCAGAACAAAGAGAGGAAGAAGAGCCAATATGCTAAATACATGACACATTGGTTTCCAATCAGACTAGCAAGTTAGCTCCAAAGTTCCCGGGCATTCTATTGTCTAAACAGATTGGTTACAAACAAACATGTGACTTCCTGTTGATCATAACAAACATCATTAACCCTGTAAATACTGAAGTGTTTTGACTTGTAACACCCAACACCACCTAACATCAGATAGAGGTGGGTGTCATCAGCATACTGGTGACATCCCAGCCTATACTTCCGGGCAATCTGGGCAGGGGGGCGCATGTAGATGTTAAATAACATCGGGGACAGCACAGCCCCCCTGAGGCACACCACACTCAAGTGGGTGCCTCCTGGACTGCTGTTCCCCTAGCCACCACCCTTTGTCCCCGACCTTGAAGAAAGGAGGCAAACCATTGCAAGGCGAGCCCCCTAATCCCCATGTCGGTGAGGCGGTGGACTAGTAGCTGATGGTCAACCATGTCAAACGCGGCCGACAGATTTAACAACAGCAGCATCGCCATTCCGCCTCGATCCAGATGCCTCCAGAGGTCATCAGTCAGAGCGACCAGCACCGTTTCCATCCCATGACCCGAGTGAAAGCTGGACTGGAAGGGATCTAACATGGAGGCATCATCCAGAAAACCCTGCAGCTGTATCGCCACCGCCCTCTCAATCAACTTGCCCAAATAGGGCAAATTGGAGAATGGCCTGTAGTTAGCCAATTCAGCCGGGTCTAAAGATGGCTTTTTCAAGAGAGGGCAGACCATCGCTTCCTTGAGTGCCCCAGGGAATTGCCCCTTTAAGAGGGACTTGTTGATAATCCCCCTTAGGGCACCTCGAAACCCCTCAGGGCCAGATTTAATAAGCCAGGAGGGGCACGGATCAAGACTGCAAGAGGTTGGGTG